TCCACTTGATCTCCTTTCCAGCATCCACACCAGCAATGTATTCAGCTTCAGTGGTGGAAAGAGAGACTGTGGTCTGCAGCTTGCTCCTCCAGCTCACTGGACCACCAGCCATTATCACCAAATATCCTCCAGTGCTTTTGCCAGTGTCTGGACAGCCACCATGATCAGCATCGGTGTAGGTAACAAAGCAATGAGGTGAAGGAGAGGATTTGGAATAGGTGATCCGGAAGTCAAGACTCCCTTTAATGTAGCAGAATAGATGCTTTACAGCCTTCCAGTGAGCTTCACCCGGATTACTATTGAAGCGTGCAAGCACTCCAACAGTGTAGGAGATATCCGGGCGAGTTTGGGTAGCCAGATACATCAGAGAGCCAACAGCAGACAAGTAGACACTGCGGTACTGCTTGGCTTCCTCCTCAGTCTTGGCACCCATGTCCTTGGTCAATGTGACACCAGGAAGCATAGGAGTGCTGACAGGCTTGCAATCCGACATATTGTACTGCTCAAGCATGTTCACAGCATACTGGCGCTGCGAAAGATGGATGTCTCCAGTGGCAGAGTCACGCTCAATCTTAATACCCAACAGCCATTCTGTGGGACCAAGATCCTTGACCTTGAATGAAGAGCCAAGCTGAGCGATCACTTTGTCAATTTCAGCATCATCCTTTGCACAAATCATGCCATCATCAACGTATATGGGAAGGACGATGCGCACCGTGCCATTGGAGTAGATATAGCACGAGCAATCGGACTGGAGACAAGAGAAGCCCATGGAGAGAAGCTTCGCATTCAGCTTCTTGTTCCATTGCCGGCCAGCCTGCTTCAGCCCATAGATGGACTTGTGCAGTTTGAGGAGCTGGCCACGCTCTCCCTGAGGAAATCCTTCTGGCTGAGTCATATAGACATCCTCCTCCAGATCTCCATTCAAGTAAGCAGAGGAGAAGTCAATGGAACGAAGCTTGAGATCGTGTTGAGCAGCAAGAGCAAGGATGATCCGCAGAGTGGCCGATTTGAAGGTGGGGGAGAAGATTTCGTTGTAGTCAATGCCATGGCGCTGGCCACGACCATCAGCAACGAGTCGGGCTTTGTAACGCTCAATGGAGCCATCGGACCTGTGTTTGATCACAAAGACCCACTGAGAGCGAATTGGCTTGACACCAGGAGGTGCATCCACAACATCCCAAGTGCAGTTCTCTAGGAGAGAGTTGATCTCTGAGACAGCTGCATCCTGCCAAAGATGTGCATCTGTGCGCCGGAGTGCCTCATGATAGGAGCGAGGATTGCCAGACTGAACAGCAGATTGAGCAAACTGCACAGAAGCAACATGGGTCCGCAGCTTACGACTGGCTGGATTTCCCTGATGCGCCACAATGAGAACACTGCCTGGTTTCAGAAGCAACTCATCATCACTTTCTGAATCAGAAGGCACAGCAGCAGGAGGATCTCTGTGGTTCTTGTAGGCAGGAGAATCTTTAGGCAGCTGCCACCACTCCCCCACAGGTCGATGCTCTGTGGCTTGTCCATGGAAGCGGCGACGTGCAGCAACTCCAATGGGTGAAGGAGGAGGAGACTGCTGCTGGGGTGAAGGAGGTTGCTCAGGAGCTGGAGCCGGCGAAGGAGGGCGGGTAGATGGCTCGGAGGCAGGTAGAGATGGAGGATTGTGAATTGCTGCAGGAGGTGCTGGATGAACACCAGAATTATCATCATCATCATCATCATAGGCCACAAACAATGGCTTGGCCACAGGAGGGGGAAGATTGATGAATGGAGATGGAGGATCTTTGGGACAGAGCTTCATCAGTTGAGGTTTTTTCCCAGGAAAGTAGCGCTCGTCAAAGACAGCATGCTCTGCAATAACCATCTTTTGGGTCACAGGATTGTAAAAAGACCATCCCTTGTACTCCGTAGGATAGCCCATAAAGATGCACCTCTGGAAATGGCATCCTGAGGTGTCCCTCTTGTCACGCTGCACAGGCACATAGGCAAGGCAGCCCCACACCCGAAGGTCGGACACATCAGGCTTCTGCTTGTACCAAAGCTCATGAGGAGTGGTGTTCTCTGGAATATGAGACGTTGGATGCATGTTGACCACATGGATGTAAGCATCAACAGCCATTGCCTTGAAAGATGGAGGCAGGTTGGCTTCATGCAGCATAGCCGTGACGTGCTCATCAACAGTGCGATTAGCACGCTCTGCTGTTCCATTCTGCTGCGGTCTGTTCCGTGTCGAATGACGGCGCACAATGCCCTCAGAGAGCAAGTAGTCCCTGAACTCGTTGGACATGTACTCCCCACCTTCGTCTTCCTGCAGCGCCTTGATCTTGCGTTCAAAGTGATTCTCAGCATAAGCTTTGAATACTTTGAAGGCATTGAATGTACCACTCTTGCGCTTCATATGGAGTGCCATTTTGAAGCTTGTATGATCATCAATGAAGAGAACTCGGTATCTGTAACCCTCTCGGGTCCAGACCTTGTATTCCTTCAGATCAGAGTGTATGAGATCAAGAGGAGCTGCAGAACGATGTCCAGTGGAACGGAACGGAACCGCATTCAGCTTGCCTGCAAGACAAGGCTCGCAAATCGGATCTGGCTTCTGGTTTGAAGTGATTTTCGCACCAGTCACCAGATTCTTGCTCAAGATCTTCTGAGTATCAGAGTGATGGCCTAGCCGACGATGCAGCAGGTCAAGATCAAGAGGCAAGGTCGTTGTAGCAAGAGCTGAAACAGAAGATGGAATTCCGACCTCTCTCACAGATGCCTGGTTCCTCTCATCAATGTCCGCTTCAAACAGCAAAACTCCATCTCGATTGAAGGAGATGGTAGATCCCTTCATGAGAATGGTGTAGCCATGAATGCGAGACAAATAGGTTGTAGAGATGAGATTATGAGATAACATAGGAACATATAAGACATTTGTGAGGATAATGGTTCGGGCATTGCATCCAGGTAGCAGTGGTCTAAGCTCTATCTCTCCCACCAATTCTGAGTGGACTACAACTCCATTTGCAACTTGGATTGGAACCCTGTGCGGATGGGCATTCAACAGAAGCTCACGGCAGTGAGTCATGTGTGAAGTGGCTCCAGAGTCTGGGTTCCATCTTTTGCTCACAAAGGATGAAGTTGGGTGAGAAAGAACATTGGCATTAGACGCAACATGGAACACTGGTGCTGCACGCTTCTTAGGCTTAGGCTTCTTCCTCTTTCCAATCATCCCTAGGAGAATAGGACACTGGAGAAGAGTATGATTTGCCTGGCCACATCCACGACAGGAAGGTGCAGCTGCAATAGCAGCAGATGATGAGAGTGAAGGTATAGACATAGTGCCCTCAGGAGTGTGTGTGAAAAGAAGATGTAGGTAATGAAAGAGTCCTAGATGTAGCTAAAATAGCTAAGAAAGGTGTAAGTAATACTACTGAACACCCAGTTGCAAGGCACTTAGGCCCTAACCCCAGAATCACAGGGATGACTACCTGGATATTTTCTGGTGGATCAAAGACTATCCCTCAAAGAGGACTTGTCCCAACAGTTGGTGCTCCTATCTACAAAGGTCACACACACTATAAGGGCAGAAGGATCGCAAAAATGCGGTGGGGCAGGAGAAGGGATGAGAATCTCAGATGATAGACAATCAAAGGCCGGGGCCCATAACCTCTTAAACAGGCAAGCACAATGGACTGAAGTCAACAGTGAGAAACTCAATTCATGAGTGAGAGAATGTGGACTAGCTACTTGCCTGAAGTCAACAGTGAGAAACTGAAGACTCAGGTCTACACTAGCCTACTTATATATGTGCTAGAACAATAGCAACAGTAGAACAATAAGAACAATAGAACAATAAGATGTGTATCAAGACAATAAGATCTGTATCAGAACAATAAGATAAGTATCACAACAATAGGATCTGTATCAACACAATAAGATAGCTATCAGATCAATATCAAAGTGCGAGAATGGCACAGTCCAACCACTGATTCCAACAAGCTCACAAGTATCGTAGCAGGGGCCCGGCGGAGGGTGGTTCCGCACACGCAGTATCTGAAACTGGGGATATCCTGTGCAGACTCCGTTCGTTCGATCCGAGCCCGGGCCTTATCTCCGGTAGAATTTTTTTTTTTTTTATATCCCAATCTTTGGTGAGTTCAATTCCCTGACGCTTTGATCTTCACGGAGTGAAATTCCGGCCCTCTACTCCCCCGACATCTAATATAAGCAGACGCGTTCTTCTTCCTCGTGCCCTGAGTATTTAAGAACCATTGCTGATGTATTTATGTTCACAGGTACCGAAACAAGGCTTAGTAGCGGTAGGACCGCACCTGCATTCAATGATTCGTGCGTCGATGTCATGCAGGTGTTCGCTTGTTCGATTCGAGCCTAGGCCATGTTACGGTAACCTTGCATCATTTTTTTGGCCTTCCCATTCACTGACTGGTCCGTAAAAGTGCCGTCAGGGGCTTGGCAGTTGCTCGTTTCATCTCGCGGGTATACGTAGATGTGTAGGATACAAGGTGCGTGGATCACCTTGTTTGCTTTGGATGATTTCTTCGCATGGCAAGTCAATAGCGACTCAGGCCGGTTTGGGAGACATAATTTTGTGCAAGGAAGAATTGCGACTCATTTATTCAGGTTCATAGAACTGTCGGGAACGGCCTGGTAGCGGATGATCCGCCCCTGCAACCCATCACGTGAAACCAATATACCTTCTGCAGGAGATCGCTCGTTCAATTCGAGCCCAGGCCATAGCAGTTGAGTTCTAAATTTTTTCCATTCCATTCACTTGCCAGTAAAAGTGTCTCTTGCTTAAGATTATATTTCACACAGGTACACATGATGGATTCACTCCCAGCCCTCGGTTTATTTTCTCATCCTCGTTTGGAATTAGTACGAAGACAATGCACAGGGATTCCGACGCCCGCATTTTTATTACAACACGTTCCTAAATTTCGCGGTCAGCAAATTGATATTCAACTGCTGCCTAATCAAGTTTGCGGCTGGAGGATGAAGGCCTGGTAGCGGATGGTCCGCGCCTGCACTCCATGATATCTTGCAGACAATCCTGTAGGACATCGCTTGTTCGAGTCGAGCCCGGGCCATAAAATATCTGTGTCTGCGTCCGCTTTTTAGTTCACCCTTCGACTCCTGCTTCTTTTTTCCTCCTAGATGATTTGAATCTCAAGACGTAAAAACAACGCCCGGTAGCGGTAGGACCGTACCTTTTTTTCCTCCATTCACTGGACACCGAGTTCACTCCCAGCTCTCCGTCATGTTCTGATGCTATCATTGTTGCGATTGCAATCGAATGCAACACTCCTCTCATCTTATTATAACTTACTCGGTGATTTCCTAAATTTCAGGGTGAGTAAATGGATATTTCGATGCGATCTACTTAAGTTCACAAGTTCAAGATGAAGGCCCAGTAGCGGATGGTCCGCCCTTGCACTCAATAATCCACGAGAACCTGTGTCATGTCTTGCGGGAGTTCGCTCGTTCGATTCGAGCCCGGGCCATGCCAGTGTCCCCCCTTTTTTGGATATTGCACTCTTCAGCGGATCTTATTCCGCTCCTGTGATTAGTTTCCGCGGGGAAGGACCACAAGATCAGATCGCGGCTCTCAGATAAGTAATGTACGTTTACCAGTCCTCGTTCCATTTTTTTGCTGATATACTCACCGGCGATGTTAAGTCTACGCAATCCCATCAAGTTCAAGGGTACCGAAAACAAGGCCTGGCGATTGGACCGCACCTGTACTCAATTCTCAATACGTATTGCATATTGAAGGATCAATCGTTCGATTCGAGTCTGGGCCGTAAGGTCGTGAACGTAGTCTTTTTCTCCTTCCCATTCACTAAAATTGCGCTCCCGCTCGTTTAAAATTGATTTGTTCGACATTATATTGGACAGGTATAGATCATCATATTGGAACAGAAGGTGGGTGGATAGCAAAACGTGTTTTGGATTTCTGACGGAGTTTATAATCTTTGAAGACCTGCGCACCAATGGCGGAGCTCCTGGGTTTCTGCGAGCCAACTTCATTGAACACTACGTTCGCAGTTGATCGCTGACTTCGATGTCCGTGTATCCACGTTCGCGACAACGAAATCAAGGCCCGGCAGCGGATGGTCCGCACCTGCACTTGGTGATGACAGACGTGCGTTTCATTATCACGCGGGACACCGCTCGTTCGACTCGAGCCTGGGCCATACCACTTTGTCCTTCATTTTTTTCTTCTTCCCATTCACTTCGTGTTTGACGCTTACTCAAGGTTTTGGAATGCAAGGTGCGTGGATTCTTTTGTCGGGGTTCGATGATTTCCCAGGCAGCACACTTCCTTTCCTGCCTGGACGCTATGTTGTTCTCTTTTGGGCAATTCCACTCATTTTGTGCTCGTTTATTCGGATTCCCAGGTCACAGTAGAAGCCCCGGTAGCGGATGGTCCGCCCCTGTATCGGATTACCTTCGTGTGACTGTTCCGCAGGGACCGCTCGTTCGATTCGAGCCTAGGCTAGATGTGTGCCAGCCAGTCAACTTTTTAACGCACACTTTCGGCCCCTCCTTCTTTTCCCCCCTCGTCGATCATTCGAATCTCAATGCTGATGTTAAGTTCACTCTCAGCCCTCCGTCCATTTTCTCTTCCACGTTTGGAATTAGGCCGAAGGCAATCAGCATGGATTCATTTCATTAAGACTTCCTATGATGGTTCATTAATGGTGGCGCGTGCTTGTGCCTCAGCGCTGGCCACACTGATTTCAAGTCTACAGGCAGACGAAGGCCTATTAGCGGTGCGACTGCGCCTGCGTCTCTCCCTTTTACACGTCGAGCGAACAGAAGATTGAATAGAAGGGGCGTGTAGCAAAATTGGTTTACATGAGATCCCAGCTTCTTAGGAGGGCCTGGGTCTCGACTCCTCATCCTGTGCGCTCGATTATGGAACACCCTGACTTTCTGTGCGGGAAACCAACCATCATGAACGTTCTGCCGTTTTTGCTTTCTGATGAATTCCGCTTAACTTGGTGGGGATGTACTTTAAGTTCACGCGTATCAGATCGAGACCTGGTCGCGGATGGTCCCCGCCTGCATTTGATTTGGAGTTCAAAGGCTGTGTAGGAGTTGCTTTTTGAATTCGAGCCAGGGCCAATTCAGGTTCCTTTTTGTTCTTCTCCCCACTTGCTGTGGACTTCCTGCCATGTTCTTTAACCTTCGCAGGTTGCTCATTAGTTTGTTTACTCATAGCCATACACCGACGAACTGTAATACAAAGTGAGCGAATATTTTATGGGTTTTGGATGATTTTCAAACAATCGAGGATAATGGATAGAGCTAACGCCATCTGTTCATGCAAAGGGGTTCACAATAACATTTGGCGGTTCGAACTTTCCGCTGTAGTTCAAGTCGAGTTTAAAACGCGGGCTGAAATAGCTGGAAGAAGAGCTCAACATATCGGCGGATCAGCAACCGATGGAGAGCCGCTGTTTCCTTGACTTTCTCATCTCGAGTTTGGGACGGGAAAGGAGAGACAACAAATAAATTCCACACCGGCGTGGGCAGTGCCGGAAATGCAAAGGAACAGAAGGGCTTTTGCCCTTTACAAGGCGTCATTTATATATTGATTGCAGTTGCCCGCAAGTTTTGGTCGGACCTCATCGCTGTATCGGATAGTCCAATGAGTCCGGCACAAGCTGTACGGGTCAAGCAGGATACTCACATCTAGACGTCTGGGTCGGTGATAACACATCCGGAGCCCTGGTTACCTCCCGTGCAGCATGCTTCGAAGCTATCCGTGTCCGCCCCTACGGTAAGGCATCTCTGAGAAGCACACACTGTGAGTGAGTGGACAATAAGATGCTTGAGTGGCGAAGTCATACCGTGTCCCCGAGCTTTGTAACGGAGTGAGTGGACAATAAGATCCATGAGTGGCAAAATCATACCGGGCTCGATGGTTCAAACAAATCGCCGGGTACGCAGCAGTCTCTCGTCAAGTCAAGAAATACCACTCCGTTGGTTATACAGTTGCAGAAAAAGCTGTGCTGCGCATTGATTTGTATCGAAACAAATAGAACGGCGAAGAGGGTGAAGATGTTGATTTGCATGTTGTAGAAGGACGACGATATAAGATACCACCACCCTCTTTTATATCTGGGTAGAACGCCCAACGTAAGCGCAAGCGCTATCGGGGATGTGGTCAAGGGTCCCTGGGTTACATTGATGTCCGTGCGGCGGCGCAGGATATCTGAGCTGATCGGGGAGGTGGTCAAAGAGTCCCTAGGTTACACTGATGTCCGTGGAGCAGCGCTGGATGTCTGAGCTGATCGGGGATGTGGTCAAAGAGTCCCTAGGCTACATTGATGTCCGGGCGGCGGTGCTGAATATCTGGGCTAATCGGAACGGTAATATATGTTTCACAGGTTGTAGGAATCGATGCCTCTTCCCTACATATGGATATTTTCTTGTCAACGTTCGGAGGGGGAAGAAAAATTACATGGGGCTCAGATTGTCATTTCTCCGTACTACACTCCGCGGTTTGGCGACGGTTTCTTTTAACAAGTCTTGTCTCTGTTCCAGAAAATACCGAGGCGAGGGGGGGGGGGGGGGGGCAGGGTTGGTTCCAACTTTACCATCTCAGCCCATCGGCATGAACAATGTAAGGGGGTGTTTTCTTCCAACTCCCCCAAAAACTGGCGACGAACGGATGGACGGATGGATTAAAATCAACTTTGGCAATCGAAAGGTGAATTGAAAAGGGCGTGACTTGTGCGGTGAAGGCGAGGCGAATATTTCTGAAAGCGGGCTTGAAAATATATACGCGAAGATTTGATGTGATTCTGGCGTGTTTAGTCGCCCCCAAACCCACAAAATTGCCTGGGAAGGACAGATAATTGACCTGCAGCGGATCCCGAACTACGGTAGGCTGAGAGCGTCAACTACCTACAATCGAGACTGAGGGGTCGTGCGCCTGTGGGCATTTATCGTGTTAGACGTAGCATGTTCTGTCATCGCAGAACATCGTACCGGTAATTGATCCTCGATACCACTCGAGTACGAGGGAGCCGGCCCGAAGGGGTTCGTCTGAACGGTCGATTACAACTCGCTCCTAAAGGGTGAAAGGCCAAGTCCACGGAAGAGATAATCATGTTCCTATTTGGGTATGTTGAGATAGCGACAGGACTGAGATAGAGGAGAAACCGTACGCGAATCGATTAGCTGTCGAAGGGTACGCGCTGATGCAATCCCGCAAGAACAAAGAGTACAGTCGGAACTGCGGAGAAAGCGAGAGGCGAGTTGCATCGAACTGGATCACGAGGATGGAATCACGGAGAGAATCTAGCTCAGGCGCAGGGAAAATCAATAACGATCCATTGAAGAATACAACCCTCAAGCGAGACGCGGCCTGTACGAGGATGCGATATCGATAGAGCTCAGAGGGAATCGGAGAGAAAACGCTTAAATAATGATACGCAGCTGCGGTGTGGTAGATAGTATAGCGCCTGGTCGAATGCGGCGGTACGCTCGGCAAGGCCAGTATGGAGCCGTAGTCGGCGTCGACTTATGCACGGGAGGAAGCGGAATCATCGCGCAGAACCTAGCTGTGTCGAGCTGAGGTGAATGGGACTCGAACAGGGAGAGACTATTAAAAGTACCCCCATGTCCCCAAAGAACGCCGATCGCAGTGCACCTTGCGTCAATGCGCGGGATGACGGGGCGCGTTTAAGGGATGCGGATGAGGTTAATGGCTCTGCGTAGTCCCCAAAAGCCGATTGAAGATGTCCGAGAGCAAGATGATGAGAGGGGGTCTTGACTCATGACGATGTGAAGGCATAGGCGGTGCTACGTGGTAAGGAGGCTGCTTTGCGCGAATAACATGGATGGCGCGAGGGAGGCGAGGTTAGCTGTGCACTGAAGAAGTAGGGTGCACCCGCAACGGACTCGATGATGGGCGACTAGGAGTGCAATATTGATGAGAGGAACTTTTGATTCGAGGTAGTCTTGACGATGGCGAAATACGACTCAGAAGCGTGGTGAAAGCGGCGCGACGTGACTGGAAACGGCTTCGAGTTAGCCACCAGTCCAGCAGAAACGACAAAGTCGAAAAGCAGAG